CAAGCTCCGAAATGCTGGAAACCGAGCTCACATCATCAGGAACAAAAGCATCATCAACACCAACACCATCCTCTTCTTTAAAATCCGGTATAATCACATCTGAATCATCATTCTCAACATCTCCATCACTTGACTCCTCAACATCACCTACCTTAACACCATCATAATCATTCAAATGTTGAGTCTCCAAAGACTCCGCCGAAGAATCAACAAACATCGTCTCATCTTTCACACCATCAACAGCAGAACCATCTCCAGCTTCTTCTTCAACTTCAACACCAGTGACTAAGTCAGGCTTTAAACTTTTCTCATAATCAGTAATATCACTAGCTTGAGCTTCATTATCTTCATCCTCAAGGCGAGACTGATATTCTCTATCAAAAGAAGGATTCTCTATTATAGTAGAATCTCCATTTGATGATAAATCTTCACGATCATTTTCATTTTCATTTTCATTTTCATTTTCATCACGATTGGAAACAGATTCCCCGGCACTCAAAAGCAACTCGCTACTAGCACTGCTAGCTCTCCTAGACTTGATGATAGCGGCGTGCGGCGTAGGAACCAGTCTAGAAGCAGCCACAGCCGCCGCGAGCGCGGCACCTGGCTTCACATTGGACCTCACTCCCGCGAACAGCGACGGTAACTGCCTCAAGGAACTAGTCGGTGCCGGACTCCGCCGTGCCGGATCGGTTACGGATTGAGGTCTCACCGGATTGCGGCGGTTGAGTTGCGGCGGAGGAGGAGGAGATGATGGTGGAGAAGAAGAGGGGGAGGAGGAGGAGGTTGAGGCGTTGAGGATTTCGTCGATTGTGCGGTGAGGGAAGGAGGAAGGATGATCCGAATCGGGTTCGGAGTCGGAGTCGGATACTAGAAACGAATCGAGATCGAGTGCCACGTGCGATGACGTCTTCATGTTGATGAACTTTATCTTAAGTCTCTGTTAAGTCAAGTGGCAGATTTGTTCTTCGAACTATCCGACGGACTCGTCACCGCCGATGATCTGAGTCTGCTTAAGCGAGTCAATAAAAAAAAAAACAAAAAAAAAAAACAAGAAGAGAGTAAACCTCTTTATGAGGTAGAGGTGATGATTGGTTGGATGGTTTTTAGATTTTAGTTTTTGGTTTTTAGTTTTTAGTTTTTAGATTTTGGTTTTAAATTTTTGGTTTCTTATTCTGCAGTAGATTTTAGTTTTTGAAAAAACACGAATGGTAATTTTAGTTTTTAGTTTTTGGTTTTGGTTTTTAAAATTAATAAAAATATTTCTTTTATATTTTTTTGTTGTTTTCTGTAATTTTAGTTTTTAAATTGAATGAAGATTTGTTAGTTTTAGATTTTAATAGATTTTATTAATAATTTTTTGAAGTTGAAATAAAATACTACTTACTATGAAAAAAAAAAGTATTTTCTTTCTTTCATAAAAAAATCAATTAAAATTCACATATTAAAAATTATTTTAACAACTATGTTTCACCCTATGTTCACATATTAAATATTTTTTTCTATAATTAATAAATTAATGAAATGATGTATTAAATGAATAATTATTTAAATTCTTCATTGAGAACACAAAATGACAATTTTCGAAACAAAATTAAAACTTTGAAAGGATACTTTTTAAAAATATATAAAATATTACCACTTAAAAATACATTTATTTATTTAGTAAAATTATTTTAAAAGTGAAAATAGTGCAAAATCAAAAGATGAACCACAATTTACACACAAAAAATATCAATAGTTAGATTTTTACATTATATATGACAATACAAAATTAATGCAGTTCAAACATGACATTACATAACTTAAATTTAACAAAATAAAAAATAGTTAGATTTTTAATATATTATATAATTCAAATATTATAAACAAAAAATACCAATAGTTAGTTTTTTACATTACTATTCATTTCCACACATATTAAACAATATAAATTGACAGTTAGTTTATTATTTAAACATACTATATAAAATTTCATTATATTTTTATAAGTTTAGAAACTTCATAAAATTATAAATATATCTTTAGTTCTGAATTTAAAAAAAAAAAAGTTATTTACTTTTTTTCTTTTTCTGAAATTTAATTAATGATTTTTGGTCAATTTTTAAAAAAACAAAATTAACTTAGAATTTAATTTCTTGTTATTAAAACAATATAAAATTTACTACAAGAATGAATCACGAATTTTGATAAACAATACCCATAGCAAGCAAATGGTTCTTACTAAACCTTATTTATTTATAGTATTTATTAGTTTTGTTACATTTTATATATTAAAGTATAAATATAACAAATAAAAATTAAAAAATTAAAAATAAAAACCCACGTAACTTTTTATAAGAAACCATGAAAACTTGGTTTTTGGTTTTTATGTTTAAAACAGTTATTTACAAAAAAACTAGTTTCCCTACATTTTAGGAAATCTATATTTTCAAAATCATGATTGGATGTAAAATGGTTTATAGAGAAACAGAAACCAAAAACTAATTTAAAAACCATAAACAATCAACCTCAGAGGTTTCGGAGGCGAGTTTTTAACTATTTATGCTCTTAGGACATCTTTATTAGTTATTTATACTTTTAGAGCATAATTATCAGTTTTCTTTGCTCTCAAAACATCCTGATTTTATTTTGACATTTAGGAACATCATGATTAGTTATCATTTCACATGAATTTGGTTATTTGTTAATAGTTTTTTCACATGAATTGGGTTTTTCATTTCTTAACTTGGACATTATCAATTATCTTGACTCTTTAAGGACATCAATACTATTAAAACATAAACACTTTTTATCTACTTGCAAATAGTCTACCTCAAAATATTATATTTATTTGATTTATGTTATGTTACATATAACAAATTTAGTTGTTATTAAATAACAACATAATATTAATATAATATTTAAATATATTCAAAATAAGATATCAAAAAGATACTCTTAACTATTTATACCACCCTACAAAGCTCATTCTGATATATTTTAGATTTTTGACCGGTTACGGATCCAATTTTTTTTGTTTAGATTGAGTTTAGACGTCGAGTTATGGATTTTATGCATATGTCTACTTTATATAAAACAAAAATACGATCATACAAAATATTCACCGAAAGATTATCCTGTATTTTTAAAAAGAGTATGTTTGATGAAATTAAAGAACTAATTAAGTTTATCCCACATTTCTACATATATAGGAAATGCGATTATATAAAGTTTGCATCAAACATAAACCCGCGCTTTGAAAGCATGGGTTGAAATCTAGTCTATTATATTAAAAGAGATCTTCATGACTCACTTCATGTGTGATATTTTAGTTTGGACCATCTTTAGAATTTTATAAAATTTTACATAACATTATAATATCTTTTCCTATCTTTAATTTTTGTTTGAAATACAAATAAATAGTTTTCAGAAAATTCTAACAAAATATTTTAAAAATCTTTTAGAATCTTTTTCAAGATATAATTGCAAAAATTATTTGATTAAAATTTTAATTATCATAAAATATAATTAAAATATTAATTCCTTTTTTATTTATAAGCAAAAAATTAAAATTATGTAAAATATTTTTGACAAAATCCCAAAATTTTGTTTATGTATTATGTAGGTCCAACTTTATTAAATTTTTACATAGATTTCAAATTAATAAAGAAATTAAAATATATAAATTAGTAATGTTACATAATAATGTTTTTTAAAAATTGTTACAAAAATAAAATTTATAAATTTTATATTAATAATATTATAAGTCACATAAAATTATTATAAAATTGGATAGCATATAGAATCAAATTATACTTATTTATTGATAAATTTTATTACATAATTTCGAATATTTTCGTATTAAAATACCCGCACGTTTGTGCGGGTTGAAATCTAGTTCTTATTACTTAATTAGTTAGTTATACTCTTACATAATTATACTTCTAAGCCAACCTTTTCAGCTATTTACACTTAGAGCATGATTATCAGTTAAAACAAAAAGAGAGTAAACCTCTTTATGAAACAGAGTTTTTATATTAATGCTCTTAGGACATCTTTATTAGTTATTTATACTTTTAGTGCATAATTATCAGTTATATATACTTTCAGAACATCCTGATTTTATTTTGACATTTAGGAAGATGATTAGTTAATTTAGGGCTGTTCAATATGGTAATACCAAACCGAACCGAACTGAAATAGACAATATGGTTTGGATTTGGTATATACCATATAAACCGAATGGATATGATTTCATAAAAACCATAGGATTTGGATATGGTTAGGTTTATAACCGATTAAACCGAATAAACCGAACAAAACCGATCAAAGAAAAAATATATAAATATATACATTATATAACCATTTATTTTCTTGGAATAGTCTTTTTTAAACTTTTTAATTCTTTGTGAAGATATATCTTAATAATTTTATTTTATTTTCTTCAACTATTATCTGTGAAATTAGATTGTACCATGTAATTTATTTGGAAGAACAAAGAGAAAATAAGAAAAACTGTACAAAACTGAATCGTTGGTCGTTTTGTTTGTTGTTAATTTCACATTTTTATATTTATGAACACCTAGAATTATTTTAATAAATGATAGTTTTAACAATATGTTTTTTTTTTAAAATTCATATATATATAACCAAATCAAATAATAATGTTATTTGGTATAAAACCGAATAAACCGAAAACCGGTAGTATAAATACCGAACCAAACCAAATTAAATATGGTTCCTATATGGTAGCTAATTTTTATAAACCGAATAACCGAAAAAAACCGAACCGAACACCAGATTGATACTGTAGTTTTTTCACATGGATTCTGGTTTTTCATTTCTTAATTGGACATTATCAATTATCTTGACTCTTAGGACATTCTATTACTAAGTTAAGTTATTTATACTCTTACATATTTATAGTTCTAGGCCAAAATTTTCAGTTATTTACAATTAGTTTTTTAGTTAGGTAAAACTAATTGAACAAGAGTTGTTTTCATAAAAGATTACGAATTCGAAAGAGAAGGTTTCAAAGCCAAAGTCGAGAACATATAATAAAAGTGGACCAAACTGTAAAAGTAATGTCTGAAAATGCCAAAACTGAAAATCTCAAATTAACTAAACCAGTAGAACAACACATAGTAAAGCGTAAAACAAAGGAGACAAACTAATCGAACAAGCCGAATCCAAGATCACCATCGCTCTCTTCTGCTGGCTCATCCTTCTTCTCTTCCTTAGCAGGTGCAGCAGCTGCGGCACCTCCACCAGCAGCGGGTGCGGCAGCAGCAACAGGTGCACCACCTCCACCGCCACCAGCACCAACATTCATGATGAGGTCTGTGACGTTACGCTTGTCAGCCATCTTGGCGAATAACATTGCCCAGTATGACTCAATCTCGACACCAGCGGCTTTGACCAAAGTGTTAATCTTCTCAGCCTATTGACAATCAGGTTTAAGGACAACGTTAATGATGTTTAAGCAAAAGACAACAAAGACACTCTCTAATCAAAATGGACCAACTAACAACTAATCAATGAACAAAACATGTAAACATTTAAGATGTAATCCGCTACAAATAATGATTTACTAGATTCAGGGTTATGTCCTAGAGAATAAAATACAAACACTATAACGCTAAAACAGACAACTTAGTATTAGTTTCTATGATTAAACAACCAGACTATATAAAAAACGAATAAAAATGAGATCTAGAAGAAGAAAATATACAGTGATGGCAATGCCCTCGTCCTCAAGGATCATAACAGCGTAGCTGCAAGCGAGTTCACCGACCGTCGACATTGTCTCTGCAACAAACAAAAAAAATACAGAGTTTAGAATCTCAACAACAGCATAAATAACAAACGATTTGAAAATCGAACCAGAGAAGCCTTAAACCGAGGTTTCGTGAGCAAACAGTAACGAAGAAGAAGAGAGAAATGTTGAAAGATGAAAGTACCTTAGACTGCGATTAGAAGCTTCAGCAAATTTCTTAGATGGCGCCGCTTGAAAACAAGGTTAGGGTTTGCAGGGAACAATCGAGATTTATAAATAAAGCACATCTCCAGAAGGTTTGGGCTTAGGGTTTTCTTAGAAGGCCCATTAAAAAACTGGTTAAAAATTTTGAGCTAGAGACGACAAACAGCAGGCAGTTTGCCTCTCTTGACAGAAACAGCAGGGCTGGCAAATCCTTTTAATGATCTCATAAAAAAACTGAAATTAGAACTGGACATTCGGTCGGATTGGTTCCTTTCGGGTCCTGAAGTTTTAGATCCAATAAATATTTGTAAATTTTTAGTTTGAGTTCGGATCGATTTTTCTCATGTCTGAGTCAAGTCAGATCTATAATTAAAATACATATAAAATATCCATAATATTCATATTTATTCGGATTTGGATCATCCGAATATCAAAAATATGAAAAAGATACGAAATACCTAAATCCTATCAAATTTAGTTCAAATCTAACATACATATATATATATATATTTCTACAAAATAACTTCAAATAACTATTAATAATTAAAATAAACTTTTTTAGACTTTAATTTTCACTTTTAAAATTTCATATTACTTGAAAATATCATACAAATAATAATAAAAATTGTTAAGAAAAAAAATTTCAACTAGATTATAAAATAAGATATAGAAAATAAAGCACCAAAAAATTATAAGTTTGGATATTTATATTGCTAAGTCGGGTATGAAACGATTCTTATCGAGTTAGATCTTTTCAGAGTCGATTCTTTTTGGCTTTGGATTTATTAGGGTCAGTTTTTCTTGGTTTCGGTTCTTTTGCGTTAAAGAATTTTAAATCTAATATTTTTAAATTTTGCTTTGGTTTCTGATCGGGTATTTTTAGGTCCGTTCCGATTAGGATTTTTTGGTCCGGGGTAAAATGCCCCAGGAGATGAAAGAAGAAATTAGCTTAATGGAGAAGTGGGCCCAATATAAACTAAATGGGCCTTAAAGGCGTTACTTAGGGTTGTAAGAAAGTGTGCGTTACAGGTGATCACAGCCCATGTGAGTGGTAAAGGCTCTAGTTTCCACCGGAGATGAACAAGATATAGCCGACGAGCTTGTTGTGTTAAACAAAAAACAGTTATATCGTCGGATATCTCTCTCTCTCTCTCTCAACCAAATTATCCAATTCGAAAACAAAACACAACGAGTCTGGTATGCCGACAAAATCCTCCATTTCTTCTTTTCTTATACTTATATTTTGGTGTTGTGTCATAGATCTCTTTTTGTTCCCTCCCTAAATAAAAAAAATAAAACAAACCCTAATTACAAAAAAGTTCAGATTTTTTTCCCTTGTTTCTGAGCTGATCTGGTGAGTAATTTGCTTCTGGGTCTCGATTATATCTTGTTTCCGTTATTGGGTTTTGCTCAAAATTTGTTTTTTCTGGGGAGATGTGTGAGAATCACGATCTCGAATTTGATTGGGTGCGCTTTGGGTTTAGTTTGATTCCTTCTCTTAGAAATTTCACTGTTTTACAAGTATGGGCTTCTAAGGGAAGCTGGATCTGGAAATTGGAATCAAACAAAAAGCTTTACCTTTACAAAGTTTTGATCTTTGTTTCATTTAATTCGTTACCGTTATACACTTGTTTATAACAGCAGTGAACTTCATGATTGCTCTCTCTCTACCACTAAAATAACCTAAAAGTTTGTTTTTTTAATCCTCACTAAACAGCAAACACTCTTATTCTGTGTAGAAAGAGCATTTCTCATTTCACCCACTTCTGTTTTCTCTCTTTCTCTTCCGAAGTTAACAGTTTTTAAGTATGACCAGATATGTCTGAACCCCGAGATGTTGAGGACCGTGTGGATTACGAGGAAGGTAGCTACAGTGAGATGGAGGATGAAGTGGAGGAGGAGCAAGTAGAGGAGTATGTTGAGGAAGAGGAAGAAGATGATGATGATGAAGACGGTGGCAATCAAGAACCCGAAGTTGAGGATTATAGAAAAGGAGAAGGTCAAGAGGAGTTAGCTGAAGATGATGACGATAACCATATTGATATTGAGACGGCTGAAGATGATGAAGACAACCATATTGATATTGAGACAGCTGAAGATGAAGAGAAACCACCAGCATCTCCTATTGATGAAGAGTATTCGCATCTTCTCTCACTTCCTCCTCATGGTTCTGAGGTTTTCATCGGTGGGCTCCCAAGGGATGTTGGAGAAGAGGATTTGAGAGATCTTTGTGAAGCTATAGGAGAGATCTTTGAGGTTTGAACAACTATCTAAGCATGAACCTCTTTGTATTTACGGCTCTGACCTTTAACTTTTTTCTTTTGTTAGGTGAGACTGATGAAAGATAGGGACTCTGGTGAGAGCAAGGGGTATGCCTTTGTGGGTTTCAAAACCAAAGACGTTGCACAAAAGGCTATTGAGGAGTTGCACAGTAAAGAGTTTAAGGCAAATCTCAACCACTAACTGTAGCTTTTACTTATCTATCATTGCTAGTTTTCATTGTACTTATGTTTTGATTTTTTTTTTTTGTGCAGGGGAAAACCATAAGATGCTCCCTTTCTGAAACTAAGAATAGACTATTTATTGGTAACATTCCAAAGAACTGGACTGAGGATGAGTTTAGGAAAGTTATAGAAGAGGTTGGTCCTGGAGTGGAGAACATTGAGCTCATAAAAGTAAGAAGTTTTGATCAATCTAGTTTGATAGATTACTTAATCGTTTTACTAATTATCATCTTGGTGCTTGTAGGACCCAACAAACTCCACTCGTAACCGTGGTTTTGCATTTGTGTTATACTATAACAATGCATGTGCTGACTATTCAAGGCAGAAAATGATTGATTCTAACTTTAAGCTTGAGGGTAACGCTCCAACAGTGACTTGGGCAGACCCAAAAAGCTCTCCTGAGAATTCAGCTGCTGCTGCTCAGGTATTCTGTAAACAGAGTGTTTACTCTATCTGCACAAAGTACTCTCTTTAGCATTTCTTTTGACGAATCACTTTTTGCGCTATGTTCTCAGGTGAAAGCTCTTTATGTGAAGAACATTCCAGAGAACACCTCAACGGAGCAACTGAAAGAACTGTTTCAGAGGCATGGAGAAGTGACTAAAATCGTCACACCTCCTGGGAAGGGTGGAAAACGTGATTTTGGATTCGTCCATTATGCTGAAAGGTCTAGTGCATTGAAGGCTGTCAAAGAGTCCGAGAGATATGAAATCAACGGTGAATTTTTATAACTCATCCATAAAACAGCTATGGAGTAACATGAACATTATGCTTTCATCTCACAAACTTGCTAACTACAGGTCAACCGCTTGAAGTTGTGCTTGCTAAACCCCAAGCTGAAAGGAAACATGACTCTTCTTATTCTTATGGTGCTGCACCTACTCCTGCTCCCTTTGCTCTCCCAACGTTTGGTGGTTTTGCTGCGCCTGCTTATGGTGCTATGGGTTCTGGTTTGGGTATTGCCGGTAGCTTTAGTCAGGTATATATATATGTTCTAAGAAAATACATGTTTGTCATCTTATAAGACAGCATTATCTTATAACTTTGGTTTACATTGAGCAGCCAATGATCTATGGTAGAGGATCAATGCCAACAGGGATGCAAATGGTTCCAATGCTTCTTCCTGATGGCCGTGTTGGCTATGTTCTGTAAGTCAATTGGTTATTTAAACTAAAGTACTGGTTCATCCTTTTCTTTTAGACTAAAAACCAATATGGATTGTATGGTTTGTGCAGGCAGCAGCCTGGTATGCAGATGGCACCACCACCACCAAGACCCAGAAGAGGTGATCGGAATAATGGCTCAAGCAGAGGGTCAGGGAGAGAGAGCAGTGATGATCATGATGGTAGCCGAGGAGGCCGAAGGTACAGGCCCTACTAGCAGCATCCCAGCTAATAGAAAAAAGGAAGCAAGTAGAAAATGAGATAATTGCTGTATTGGATATCTGTTTGTAGTTTTTCTTTCTTTTGAGAACTTAAGAAAAATCTCTCTCTCATGTGTTATATAAATTGGAAATCTAAACCTTACGGTTTCTGGTTTGTTAAGGAGATTGATGAGGGGGTTAGGGTTAAGTGGTATGATTTTATTCTCTTAAACTATGGGATTTTAATAATATCAGTTATAACTTCAGGATGGTGTTATTTAAGTGTGCTCTTCAGTTCAGATTTAGTTTAGAAATTTATTTATATTATAAACAGATTGAAACGGAAAATCCATCCAAGTTTTTGGTGGAGATTGCATATTGATATCACGTGTGATTATTTACTTTTATGACAAGTAAACACTGTTTCTTATAACAAACAATCTGAAGAACCAAGTAACAAATGAATCAAATATACGTGTCAGTATTACAACAACGTAATGTGTTTTCAGAAATACATTTTGAGAAGAGGGTCATCTTCATTAGAGGGAAAGCTCTCAGCTTTCCAAGCTCAATTGATTGTTGTTTGAATCAAGAGTCAATGTCAGAACGAGTAGGAAACTCAAGGCCTTGAAGTGAAGTTATGTTTTGTAGATCATCTTTAGAGTACAATGGGAGGAGCCAAAACGCCTTCTTCTTCCCAAAAACCTTCACCAGACGAGAGTTTTATCAACTTAACTAACGATTTCCATGGAAGGAGGATCACAAGAAGACTCACCTGCTCAAAGTTTTTCTTCTTTCCCAAGTCATATTTCCATCTGACATCTCCGTTCTTCTCGTGAACCTGCAAAAACAATGGTTTTAGCGACTAGAAACGTATGTTCAAGCTTAAGATTTGTTTATAGAAGACAACACACCTCGACAGAAGTAGTGTTTGTTGAGAGAAGAGAGATATGCATGACTATGAACATTAGAAGGCTGAGAACGAACGCTAAGTTAAGAACTGCATCAAGGGGATATAGAATCTGTAAGAAACATAAAGACGGAAAATGAGAAAAGAAGAAAAGCTAAACACTTTCTTAGAAAAACTAGAAATGCTTTACACACTCACCGAAAGCCAGGACCAGAGAGGCTAGTTGACCCGGAGAAGAGGAATGCTTTATAGCTTGGCTGAAGAATTCAATGAAACTAGGAAGCAAGACTACAACGTCCAACATTGTCTCGAGAAAAGTATACAACTACAAAACGAATAAACGGTCCAGAACTCAGTAAAATCTGTTCCCAATACACACCAAAACATAGTTCCAGAACGATGAGATAACAAACTGAAAGGAGTATATTACCAGAAAGAGAAGGAAAAACTTGTAATTACGCGCTCCAGCACAATTAACAATCCAAACGCAGTGATGATCCATCTTCAGAACACATCTTTGACCTGCATAACATAAGTTGGTTACTTGCAACAACACTAAGCAGAACAGAGCATAAGCTAAGTTGAGGTTTTGCCTTACAGACAGAACAATGATGGCAACGAGGTGGCTTAACATTCCGGCATTTCGGACAGTATCCAAAAGCTCCTTGTTCTGTCGAAGCACCAGCCTCCAAACTATCACCACCAATCTCTCTTCTGAAATGCTCAGGAACAGAACCTGGGTCCGTAAACACAGCAGTGAAGTAGCTCCACAACAGCATTATCAACTGCAAAGGATAAGACTTTAAGCATCAAAACCCTAGAATTTCAAAACCTTAATCTAAAAGGATAAGACTTTAAGCAGCAAACCCCTATAATTTCAAAACCCTAATCTTAAAGAATAAGACTTAAGCATCAAATCCCTATAATTTCAAAATCCTAATCTTAAAGAATAAGACTCTTAAAGCATCAAAATATAAAAATTCAAAACCCTAATCTTAAAGGATAAGACTTTAAGCATCAAAACCCTAGAATTTCAAAACCCTAACCTTAAAGGATAAGGACTTTAAGCATCAAAACCCTAAAAATTCAAAAGCGTATTCTCAAAGGATAAGACTTTGAGCATCAAAACCCTGAAAATTCAAAACCCTAATCTCAAAGGATAAGACTTTTAAGCACCAAACCCTAGAATTTCTAAACTAACACTTTTAAACATCATAACTCTAGAATTGTAAAACCCTAATCATAAAGGATGAAACTTTAAGCACCAATACCCTAAAATTTCAAAACCCTAATCTAAAAGGATGAGACTTTGAAATTACCAAGAAGTGGAAGACAAAGATGATTAAGCAGGCGAGAGCTGAGAGAGCTCTATGGTTGTTTTCGATTAAGATCGGCCACCATGTGTTAACGATGACCGCGTAGTAAGATACGGCGACGAAGGAGAGGACGAGAAGGATCACTAAATAGCCGAGGACTTTCAGACCGGAGCAGAACCGGAAAAGGTTCATTTCCAGCCGGGTCAAAGGGATGATCGGGGCGGGTCTTCGGGTACGAGCTGGGAACAACCGTCGTAAAATATCCGGAGCCACCGTGGCTTGAGAGGATTTTATTAGGGATAGGAGTTTGCTTTGTTCGGAGGACGACGGTTGATTGATTCTATTCGTCGTCGTGTTGGTTAGTGCTACTGATTTGGAGTAACCTTCTTGTTTACACAGAAGGTTTCGTTGTTTGTAATTTGTTTAATGGGCTTTTTAATGCTATATTTTAATGGGCCTGGAGATAAATAATAGCCCAAATGTGGTTTGCTTCTTTTTTTTCACATAATGTTTGTTTTAAGTGGAACTCAAAAATCAAGTTTGTAGTGATTTTGTTGGTTTACTGAACTCAATTATGATTTACAGTTAAACCTTTATAAATTAATAATGTCAGGACTTTGAAATTTTATTAATTTATAGAGATATTAATTTACCAAAGTTTTCTTATTTAGATTTTTTTATTTTAAGATATATTTATTCTAAAATAAGAAAAATATTGTATTTTAGTGTATAGATATTTATTATCATTTTTTGAAATTTGACATTTATAATAAATTTATTATATTATTTGGTGTATTTAATATATATTTTATAGAATTTAAATATGGTTTTAGATATAATATTAGTAAATCTCATCAACAATATATTAAGTGTCAAGAAAATATAAAAAAAAATTCCTTATAAATTTAAACAAATAATATAATAATAGGTTCTTAACTATATAAAATATGTATAAATATAAATTATTAATTTATAATTTTAATGGGACCATATATTTACAAAGAACTTTCTAAAACATTATTATCTTATTATTTTATCGATTTGTGTCAAATTTTGAACCGGCCCAAATCAGTACCGGTAAAATTTATTAATTTAGAAAAATTATTAATATATCGAGTATTAATTTATAGAGGTTCTACTGTATTTACTTTTCTAGATTTGAAGTAATTAAAGATTTTTCTTTTTGATTATGAGATGATATTGGGAGCTTATGGAATCTGGTTGTATAAATGAGTAGACATATATGACAGTGAATATCACTAAAAGCATATCTCAATCAAGTTTGGTTGAGTTCCTAGATGGATGTGGAATGGGAACTTGTTGTATGGTATTAGTTGAACCGGTTCGGTATGGTGTAAGAACAGATAAGCCACGCTCAATTGTTTGTTACTTTAACGATTTGCGTTATAACGAGATGAGAGCAATGCATCCAAGTCTCTTCTCTAACGAAAGAGAAGAAAGCAAAAATACTCTAAAACTTGATACACTAAACTAAGTAAAAACTTCTCTGAACTCAAAAAGTAAAATGCAAAAGAAATTGCTCTCAAGTCTTGTTGGCTCAATTTCATATTATCTTCAAAATCAACAAACATTACTAAAAAAAGCAATGCATCTGGAAATAATGGAATGAATAATGTCTATCCATCCATCCATACCCACAAATTATTACTGAGAAAATAGCCGATACTCAAATCAAAAGAAAAGGGCCCAACACAGAGAGCAAATGAATCAAATCTGTATCAAATGAGAGAAAAACACTTATTCAGGGCGAGACTTGACGATGAAGTTCTGGCGACTGATAGGGTTCATAACCACGGGAGGACCAGCGGTTCTAGGCCATGCTTGGAGCCTCTCTTCAGTTGCAGCACCCCATGCCTTGTTAGTAATAGTCCCCGGTGTACTTCCTGCATTTTAAAATTAAAAAAAAAAAAACAATTTAGCTTGAGAACATAGAAACCAGTTATGTCCGAATATAGAAACTTGCCTCCGAAAATCTTCTCATCAGAGATGACTTTGTCACACACGTAGGCTACTACAGCAGATCCCACAAGGGCACCAACTATGTATTTTCCTCTTGACATTACTTCTTAACCTAAAAATGAACAATGTAAAAACATTACCGCATCATGCATATAACATAATCAAACCACAAATTCATGTAATAACGAAAATAATTACAATTAAAAAAGGATAAAAAAATATATAAGGAATTAGCAAAAATGAAAAGTCTAATTTAAAAAAAAAAAACAAAGAAAGGCAAAAACAATAGATTCAAAAGCTTGGACATGAGAATATATATAGTTATCAAAAAAATGAATAATCGCTACAATCAACAACTCTAGTTTCAACCACACCAAATAAAACAATACATATACATAGATCTGTCGTTTTGAAATCAAGGAGACGAGACATAATATAGATCTCATTACGACGACTAAACAACGACAAAATCATCAGACAGATCAGAAACAAAGATTCGAGGAAGAGTGGTTTTACCTTGATGATCGAAATCACAGACGACGAAGCGAGAAGACGACGGCGAGGCGCAGGAGAATCGTTAGGGACGAAACGAAATAGTGATTTACGTATCTTCGAAATGACCCCAAATAAGGTTTTGTTGATGTGGGCTTTTTCGGCCCATCTTGGGATTTTAGATTTATATTTATACTTGGACCTTGTATGACTAATATTAGGCCCACATAAAGCTTTTTGTTTAAAACAAAAACATGAGAAAATGCCACGAAGTCCAAACTTCAATTGTATCCGCATCCTTTTTTTGTATCAGCTTGAACTTGCATATATTCTTTGACCAAAAATAAAAGAACTTGCATATATTCAATCTAGAATTTTGTAATTTAGTTTATCAGTATTTAAATTAATTATATTTTTTTAAAGAAAACTTAAAAAACCTAAAACGAATCCCCAACTAATTATTAACCTCTGCTTTTTGGTTAATTCATTAACCCTAAACTGATCATCCGATTCACGCTTGACATATTTCCAAGTATCATACAGTTTTAGTTTCACAAAAAATGTTAGCTATGTTTTAATTATATATAGTTTATGTGTCATGATATATTATTGATAGTTATTTAGAAAATTGATTGAAATTTTAAATTTTAAGATATTAATCATGTCATATTAGGATTTACAAAAAGTTATATATTCTACTAAACTAATGCAAATTGTAAAGTTCTTATCTAGGTTTTACTTTATTACAAATCGCATATTTGATAGTGACGGGATTATTGCTATTCTGGCCATACAAATGATCAAGGTTTCTTGTCTATTTCTTTCCACTTTCAAAATTCTTCAGTCCATCAGTATTTTGCTTTTTATACGTTCAAAATAAATTATGAAAATAAGATCAGTATACAAAGGAAAGTACTCTCAAATATGTGTACCTAGACTAAATCAAGTGGAGAATCCTAATGTATATTTTGTCGAGCTAGATGAGTTTGTAATCTGAAATTAGTTTGTGTTAAATAGATGGATCCATATACCTTATATATTTATTAAAGTCCTCTTCTAATTTTTGATGTATAAGATTTGGCTTCTCTTTTTTTGTGAGCAACGAAAAATTATATCAAACAGAAAAGGAAAGAGGTTTAAACCCCAAAGGCAAAGGGTAGTACAAAAGAAGGCAACTGAAAGGGAGATAAGCCTTAAGGACATGTTTAGCTTTAGAATCAGTCTTTCTGTTTTGGGAATGATGAATGTGCTGAAAGAGGATAGAGGCAAACGGTGAAGAGAGAGTATCGATATCTTGGAGGACATTGTAAATCTCCTTAAGCTGGCCTTTGCAGACGATTGCTCTGATGAGCGTTGACCAGTCAGAAGGCATTGTGACTGTTTGTAGACCCGATTCGAGAGTTACTTCGATTCCTTTGCGGAGAGCAAGCGATTCAGCCATGAGAGGAGAGTTTACTGATTTGATGATCTGGGAACCTGATTGTGGGGGAGTCGGTTGGTCATTGATTAGCCTCCAAGCCATCCTTGCTCTCTTTGAGGAAGCATCAATCTCGTAGTGTTCATCTCTAATACATCTCTAATATGATGGATTTTTTAGCGACAATCTCATAGTGTTCAGATAAGGATCGATGGATTAACTAAATATCAAATCATTGTGGACCGTGCTGGACTATATATATGATATCATTTTAAGATAAATGAGCTATCAATATAACATTAAATAGGTGATAAGTGATTTTATTCATCTATTTTATATGTTAGTTTGGTATATTCCAACTTACGATAACAAATTTTTTATCTCTAATATATTTATTGGTAAGAAAATTTTTATCTCGAATATATTTCAGACGATTGTGTGATTTAAGTTTATATTTTAACAAAAATAGTGTTATTTCTTGTATGTATATCTATAGTTGTTTCTTTATGACTGTCAAGTTTTAAAAAACTACAATTATGTAGACAAAGAAAGATGTTTTGGATGAGATTAAAAAAAAAAAAATTCCTATAAATATAAACAAGCTTGGTAGATGATTGGTTGTACATTAATTGTAGAAATATTATTTTAGATAATCTATAAAAATGAGAAAGAGAAAAAAATATTCCTACATAAAATATTTTTTTCTAAAGTTAGTAAATTAGAAAATAAAGCTCTCACAATTTTTTTTGGCTTTAGTCTTAGCAACTAAATATATCATGATTAATATTTATGGTTGTAAATATAAATTAAAACTAGATACACTTGATTTTTATGGTTGTAAGAGTAACGTATACAACTTATATTTTAGGCTATGTATATGAAATAACAATCGAATCACATCTTTATTAAAATGATTAGTATATTGTAATGGTAGGCAAAAGCAAAGCTATCATCTAATTGCTTTTTGGCTAAATATCTTCAGACCCATGTTTCAATATTTACAATAGCTATGTAAGAGTCAAGTTTGACAAGTTAACTAGAAGAAAGTATATCACCATGACAAAAGCCATTAATTAGACTATTATCATTACAAAATGTTTATTTTCATTATCACACCAACATCGTAAAAACATTCATTTGAACAACAACAATAACAACCGCAACAACAACAACAACAAGCCACACAATATATAGAAGATATGAAGACCCTTAATTATTTATAATCAACAACAACATGTGACTTATATAATATAAGAAAATAATCAAACCTTAAAACACCGGATGAGATGGTTATGAGGATGGTGATGGTGAAGATGGCCAAGAGTATTATAAGAACCGAGAAATTTGGAGTTTTCCCGATCGATCAATCCTTGAACATACCTAAACTCTTCAACGTGACAAGGGATCGTGATTGTCCCTTTTTGAGCGAATCCAAACTCTTCTTCAGCTTCTTTTAAGAGTTGTCCAAACAAAGGATGATTAAAATACAAAACGGGAACCACAAATCTCTCTTGTTCTTCTCCTTGTCCTACCTTCACTGCTAAACACCCTTTTGGTACCTTTTCAAGATCATGCTCATGATGATTATGATGGTGATTATGATGATGATGGAGACGTGGGATATGGAAGCTCCAGTGACTGAATTTGTCTCCGTTACCCATTGGATGAATATTAGTATATATAGATATAATATATATAAATATAATATAGTTTAGTTTGTCTCCATGGTTTCTGTCTCTCCCATGTTGGTTTGTTTCCCCCGGAAAATGTTTTTTCTTGTGTTCTCTAGGAAGTGAAGGAAAATGGTTTTTGGAAGGTTGTAGGACTCGGAGGACGATGAAGAAAATGTCGTATGTTTGTCATCTGTTATCAAGAGACTCTTTTAATTGTTTTAAAGGAGAAGATGATGTTTCTTGTATATATAGCAAAGTTGGTGCGCATAATTTGCTTTATTTTTGCTTGTATGTGCCGGATTTGAATTCCATAAGGAATAAGGATATAATTAAAAAATACAGAATAAATTTTACTTGAAAATTAAGCACTCAGGAAAACTTTAATCTTATCCTGTATGTATTTTAAAGTACTTTATTTAGTACTTTCTCTTTTTGTCATCATCAAAACTTAGAAGACAATCCAGCTAAACCCTGGATTAACGGAGATTAAGACACCCACAATATGTAGAAGTAATATGCGCATGTACAGCAAAAGAAAATGTATAGAAAATATGATCTATTTTTACTTGAACATAGATCATATTTTCACATTCTTTGTGAGTTTTTAATTATTATGTTAAAACAGAACAAAAAAATCTTTGGGAAAAAGTAGTTTTCTTCTTTTTTTTGGTTAGGCTGTCGTGTAAAATGTGGTTTTGTTAGTTGTAAATATATTTCTCTTCATGTAATGAAAAAAATATGTTTTATTTATTCCGAAGATATATCAACAGAATCATTACGACAAAGAACCAAAAAAAGTTAAGTGGTGGTGTAGTGGTAGGAAAAATTAGATTCTTGCAAACCGGCGAAAAGGAGTGGCCGGTCATGTCGTCTGTATATTTACCTTTTTCAAATTAAATTGTATTTATTTTTAAGAGTATCGTATCAATAAAAAAAGTCAAAAGCTAGCGTTTGATTTACATCCTTGGAATCTTACCAATAAACTTATAAACATATTGCCTTTATCACAAAGTATGTTCCACACAACTTTGTTTTTATTGTGAATAACAATTTCTGCCAAAGAAAATCGAATGGACCCAGTAATATGACAACACATAAAAGCCAAAGTTCGGAAGAAATTGATAAAGTATATACTGTAATAATATATATTTCAAATTGAAACTTTGGAATTAGACATTTTTTATTGTTACATGTAAATGGAAGTACAAATTTATTGTACAAAGAGCCACGACCTCATAGATTGTTGGAATATCTAGCGGAGAATATTATACATCAATAATAAAGGTAAATTCCCACTTGAAATTAAATACATTAATATGACAAAAAGTAATGTTTGGTTTTATGAAATTAAAGTTATTTGGTTAACATGTGGGAAATATTTACCGGCTACACCAACTATAATAATGTAATAGTACTAGATTTTCATCTGTACACCCGTGTGAATATCAGGTCTTGGCTTTTTTGGACGTATTACTGGAAAAGTTGTTCAATGCGAAGACATTACTCTTGTTTCTTAACTAGGTAATTTTCCCGTGCTCATGCACGGGTATAAATATTTTTAAAGTAAATATATGATAATAATTGATTACTATTTAGTTTTAATTTTCAATTAATTTATAATTTGTATGTATCATTTATATTAATAATATTATATTACTTAATATTATATTACTTTAATTGTACTTTAATTTTATATATGTTATATCTAGTCGATTTTGTTGTTTTTACGGTTAATTTAGTTATCATTTGGATAAATTAGATTGCATTTCTGAATTCAACTGTAATATTTTAAAATATATAAATTTTTTATTAATTACCTATTTGCATATAGTGGGTGTTGTCTTAGACATGTAAATATATTTTAGTAAAATTATGTATAACTTAAGATATATTGTGCTTAGAATAAATTAAAAATTAACTAAAGTGTCTAATTCCAAAATACGTAAATTAATATAACGATAATATTCTAAAGTCTCATGCATATATATAAATTTTAC